CATTTAACTATGCATTTATTCAAGAATGTTTATTTATTAAAGAATGTTTATTGACTCCTCCACTAGGCTGGGTGCTATTTTGGGTACTGAAGATACCCTGGAGGATAGGTAAACTGCTGCTGCTGTCCTCAAGGGATCCAGGACACGCAGATGGGAGCCACAAAGCTGGGTGAAGTGGCACACTCCTGCAATCCCAGTGACTTCGGAGGCTGTGGCAGGAGGATCACAAGTTTGAGCCCAGCTTCAGTAACTTAGTGAGGCCCTGTCTCAAAATGAAAAATTAAAAGGGCTGGTGATGTAGCTCAGTGGTAAACTCCTGGGTTCAATCCCTAGAACAAACAAACAAACAAACAAAAAAGATGGATACCACAGGTGGGTGGCTATACTGGGAACCTAGGAATGTGCTAGAACAGTTGGGGTGAAGATAGGTGGCAGAAGGCCTGTAGGGATGACCCCTGGGTCTATAGGTCTGAGATGTGGAGTTAGGAAAGTGGGTGAGGAACCGGCATGCCTAGCAAAGGCACAGAAGTGAGAAAGGCTAGAATGTCAGAATGTGTGCAAGAAAACCACATGCAGCTCACGATTCTAGAACAAGGATGAGAAGGGAGTAGGGGAGAGATGCAGTGGGAGGGGACAAAGGGAGCTGGTTCCAAGTTAATTACTTTCTTCATTTGTTTCATAATTTATGGAGAGGTGAACTCAGGGCTGAAATTTAGACACTGTTCCTGGCTTTGTACAGCACACAGTCTTGGTGACTTAGGGTACAGCAGGAGACAGACATCAATCAGGTGATTACATAAGTAACCACAAGGTCTTGTGATAGGGCTACAAAGCAGGTGTTCTAGTAGAAGGAAGGCTCGAGGCCCAGGGGTGAGGAAGTGCCAGTTGGCTTTGGTGGAGTGAGCATGGGCAGGTAGGGATGTCCGAGGGAAGCTGGGGCAGCTGATGAGGGCCAGATCAATGCCAGCCCAGAAGAGTGGACTCTTACAGGACTTGGGGAGCCATGGAAGGACTTTGAGCAGTTAAGATGCATGGCCAGCTCTGCTGCAGTGTCCATAGACCTGGAGGTGTGGGAAGACAGAGGAGGCAAACTAGTGGCTGTTGCCATTGTTTGGAAGAGATGGTGAGGAATGGGCCAATGCAGGGCCATGGAGACAGGGATGAGTGTGGCGTGCTGTTATGGGAGAACCAGGGCTGCCCATATCACCTGGGCATCTTTGGACAGGCACCCATGATGGCCTGTCCAAACCTTGGCCCACTTCAATCAAAAACAAAGCACTGATGGTCTGAGATAGGCAGGGCAACAGGCTCCAATTCCAAGGTCAGTTCTGGGGACTTCCCAAGGCTGGACTGGGGGGACTCAGCCCTAGGGAAGCTCAGGGTGGGGAGGAAGCTGGGGAGGGGGTTGAGCCAGCATCTCATGACTCAGCCACTTCCACCCAGTCAGCCCCGTGGCATCTCCGCTCCCTTGCTCCAAATTCCAACTTAGTGAGGCTGCTGGAGGCTGAGTCAGCTCCTGCTCGGCACGAGAGCAGCATCCAGAGGGGTGYCCTGCCAAATTCCCTGGCCCTCAACCAAGGCAGGGCCAGGCGCAGAGTTGGGTAGGCAGAAGATGCAGGAGCCAGGCTTCCAGAGGCTACAGCAGCCTGAGTGGAGCAAGGTGTCCCATGAGACCATGTGAGTAAATGTGCTTTGTGGGTTGTGAAGCATGAAGGCAGGCAAAATTTTCTCCTCTAGGTCCAGGACCACAATCTGCCTGAAGAAGACAAAGAAAAGGACCCAAGTCCCAGCTCTGCCCACTCAATGGATYATCCTGAGAAAACCCCTTTCCCTCTTGACCTCAATTTCCTTGAAAACAGGATGGTGGTCCCCTTAAAGAGTTCCTAAGAGTTAAATGGTGTAGATGGAAGTGCTTCACAAACCGGTGGCTTTTGTTATAGCAGAGGTGAGGACACATGGAAAAGTCTCAGGAGACCACTTATGGTTGTATAGGTTATTCACTGAGAGAGACTGTCTAGCCAAGAGAGACTGAAATCYAGCACATTCTCTGCTCACCAAATGGTGGGCCCCAGTCTGGGACTGCCAGGACCAAGAAAACACTTTTCTCTAGAGTACACAAATGCACCCTGGGGAGTAGGAGTGGTCCCTTGGGACTTCTTGGGTCAACCCCAGATTTATGGAAAAACTGACTTTTTGGATGAAAGGAATCAGGGCTGGCTTTTCAGAAGTTCTCAGAAAAAGGAGACCACTATTGGACACAGTGGCATACACCTGTAATCCTTATGACTCAGGAGGCTGAAGCAGGAGGATCACAAGTTCAAGGCCAGCCTCAGCAATTTAGTGAGACCTGTCTCAAAATAAAAAGCAAAAAGGGTTGGGGATGTACTTCATGATAGAGCACCCCTAGGTTCAATTCCTAGTACTGCAAAAAAAAAGGAAAAGAAAAGAGGGAGAAGGGAGATCACTGTTGGCAGTGAGGCATATCGGATTACTGGGCAGGCAGTGGGGTTTCAGGGGGCAGTCTCTCCTGGCCCAGACTCTTCCCAGCAACCAAGCAGTTAACCACCAAAACAGTATTTTAAAAAACACTCAAGACACAGACCCAAGCTGGGTTTTATTGAAATGCCAGGAACAGGCACATGTCAAGGTAGCCAGAGAAGGGAGGAAGATGGTGCAGACTGTGAGTGGGCAGGGAGGGGCAGGCCCCAAGTTGTGGCCTTGCATCCCCTTTCTGCCAGGGGATGAGCAGGCACAATGACCCTCCCAACAAAATGGCATGCTCAGTCCTGCAGGGCCCCTGTCCCCTGGACTATGATGGCTCCAAGGAGAGGGAATGGAAGCACTAAGTTTCCCCCCTTGAGAGGAAGGAAGGAAAGAAGGGAAGAATGCAGGAGGAGGGGAAGGTATAGCTGGGGACGAGGGTGGCCAAGGAAGGTTCTCTTCTTGAGTATCTGCACCCAAACTGTGATCCTGGGCAGTGATGGGAGCAGCAAAGAGGAAGGCTGAGGGCTTGGCCCTCAGGGAGCCAAGCCCCAAGTCTTTTGGGGCTGGAGTCAGCCCTGAACAAAGGGCAAAAGTTCCAGGGGACTGAAGATGCAGGAAGTTACCAAGTAACCTAATCCTCAGAGCTGGGGGGTTTTGGCCTTGGGACGAGGAGGAGGAAGACAGTTGGGTCCATCCTCAGCAGGGTGGGGATAGAGGACAGTCTCCCCCATTTGGCCTTATTAGGTGAGTTCCACATTGTTGGCACGGTCCAGCACCCGAGAGCCACGCGAATTGCCTCCAAGCTGGAAACGGCTCTCATAGAGAGTAGGGCAGAGATGCCAGCGATTGGCCCGGTAGATGCCCAGGTAGGTGTAGACATCTGGCTTGTAGGTGAGCAGACACTTAATGCCTGCCGCACGGATGGCCGAATCTGCTTCCAGTACACCTAAGCGGTCCGTAAAGTCGTCCGTGTAAACACAGATGACCTGGCGCCCACCCTCCTTGGCCCGTGGGCTCACCTTGGCCACCTGAAGTCGGCCCTCAACCACAGCYCGGGCAATGCCAGCCCAGGCATGGTCCAGCTTGAAGCCAGGTGCCAGGTGAATCAGCCACTTGCCTGAAAGCACATGGTGGGTGATGGCCAGCTGGCGCAGGGTACCTGGTGTGATAGGCCGCCCGCTGGTCTGCAGAGCCTCCCAGGCTGCCTGCAGGCCCTGTACATCACCTGAGTTGGGGGTATAGCCCTGCCCATAGGCTGCAATCCAGCCCACAGGTTCAGAGTTGGGTGAACCGGGGTCCCCATAGCGTGTGACTTGGGATGGTGGGTACTTGGCCAACCAGGCATCCAGCTCAGCAGCAGGTGTAGTGCGGGCATCGAACACCAGCCAGGGGTCCATGTCAGCTGCCATGGCCTCCGCAGCCAGGTGCTCAGCAGTGAAGCCATCCTCTCGGCCACCCGGAGAGTCCTCCTCCTCCAGTTCCTCACCTGGCTCCATCCTGCTATGAGGGAACGGAATCAGGGCAGGTCTGAGACAACTAAGGCTTACTGGGTCCCAGCAGGTACAAAGTACTACACTAAACTGKGTGGCCTTGGGCAAGACTAAATGTCGCTGTCCCTCATCTTTACAATGAAATAACAACCGATCCTGTCCAGTAGATTTGTTGTRAGAATGAAATGCCTGAGGTGGAGTGGGCCCCACATAAGCTATTGTTATTACTACTCTCACCGCTTACAGACCAGGTAAGCTCAGCGAAAAGGGACTTGCCCAAGGTCACACCTGTAGTGAGTGGCGGAGGAGGAATGTGAATTCAGGTGTGGGAGCAAGCAGCCCCAGCAACACCTCCTGTAGAGACCGGCTGGTATCCAAGAGGCTGCGATCTAATGGACAGAAGCAAAGAAGCACAGGTTCACGCAGCCCCCCAGGTAGGCCCAGGAGGGCGAGGCCTCCCGAGCGGACGTTCTCGGGACCACTTAAAGACTGGCACACAGAGGCCCTGAGAGGCCAGAGTGACCAGTCCGAGACCAATGGGCGGTGCCCRGACTCGAACCCGGGCTGGTTAGAACCTGCGGGAGAGCCAGGCTCTGGCCCTGCCGCGCCCGCCGCCATTAGCACCTTCGGCCCGAGAAGCGCCCCCGCTCCAGCCCTGCTGCTCCCGCCGCCCCGCAGTCACCTCCGTCCTTCGCTGCGTTCGGCGCCAGCCCAGCCTCGGGCCCGACTCCGCTCCTGCCGGGGCTCCGCGCCGCCGTCACCGCTGCGCCCCGCCCCCRCCACGGCAGCCGCCGCCGCCGCCATCTTAGCGCCCCGCCGCCTCAACAACAACTTTATAGACAAGCGCAACCACGGGGCGGGGCCACCGGGCAGGACTGGCCGGCTGTGGGGCGGGGCCGGAGGGGAGGGGCGGGGCCGACCACGGGGCGGGGCCATTGCTGGAACCCAGGGGGCGTGGGTCTACGGGGGCGGGGCTAACGTTCGCTCTTCTGGCTTGGGGGCGGGCGGTAGTTGCCGAGACGAGCGGCCCGGCACCGACGCACACTGCCCGGTAGGCTCCSAGAGACGGGCACTTGGGCCCTGTGAGCGGCGTCTCGACAGGCGGCGCTAGGACCCTGTAGAGAGCGGCGGGGGCGGAGCGGGCGGCACCAGGACCCGGGGGAACTGCGTCGGGCGGGTGGCGAGCAGGCCCGGAGGCCCGGGGGCCCGAAGGCTGCGGGCGGCGGCGCTGGGCCCGGCGCGGCGAGAGAGGCCCCGAGATGCCGAGCAAGAAGAAGAAGTACAACGCGCGGTTCCCGCCGGTGAGCACGTGGCTTGGCCCGGCGGGAGCAGGCCCGGGCTCCGGGGAGGCTCCGGCCCTGAGCCGGGCCGGGGGGTGGGGGGGCGGGCGCATCTGGGTGTTCGGGGCCTGGACGCCCCGCCCCCTTCCGGGCCCTGCCGGCGTCCGCGCCCCCCGCCCCTTTCTCCCGGGATACCCCTCTCGCTCCCCCCAGCACCCTTTCAGAGACCACTGCGACCGGGTCCGAACTCTGCCCCCTTCTGTAGGCACGAATCAAGAAGATCATGCAGACGGACGAAGAGATTGGGAAGGTGGCGGCGGCTGTGCCTGTCATCATCTGTATCCTGCGGGGGGCTGGCCGGGTTGAGAAGCCTGGGGGAGGGACCGGGCACCCCACTTCCCGCGTTCTCCTTGACACCACTCAGCCCGGGCGCTCGAGCTCTTCCTGGAGTCGCTGTTGAAGAAGGCCTGCCAGGTGACCCAGTCCCGGAACGCCAAGACCATGACAACGTCCCACCTGTGAGTGGCTGCTGAGCTGAGAGGGGCTGGTGGGAAGGCTGTGCCCTGACAGGGAGATGGGATGCTGCTGGGAGACCAGCAGACTAAGAAACTGGCGGAGGAAAGCTTGGGTGTTCCACGAAGAGGGAACAACTTGAGCAAAGTAGGGAGGCTGTGGTGGAGTTGGGGAGGGGTTTTCTAGGCTCCACTGCTGACATCCAGGCTCCTTGATGTCCCTGGCTGAAGGCCTTAATATTTGGGCCCCATTGAAATGCCTTCACCTTCCTACCTCTTCCAGGAAGCAGTGCATTGAACTGGAGCAACAATTTGACTTTTTGAAGGATTTGGTGGCGTCAGTGCCTGATATGCAGGGTGATGGAGAAGACAACCATATGGATGGGGACAAGGGTCCTCGCAGGTGGGGGCCAGGGTCATGTGTACAGGTGGGGAAGATCAAAGCTACAGGGACTGGGGGAAGCTGGGGGGCAACCAAGGAGGGGGAAGACCTCTGGGCAGATGGACTATACCTTCCTGCAGGGGCCGGAAGCCAGGCAGTAGTGGCCGGAAGAATGGTGGGATGGGAGGCAAAGGCAAGGACAAGAAACTATCCGGAACAGACTCGGAGCAGGAGGTGAGTGAGGCCCCAGCCATCTGTTTTGCCCTGTGGTGATGAAAAGGGCAGCCTGTGCCAGGTTGTGCTGGCTTAAGGTTTTTTCTCAACCTTATCTGTGACTTCTTGCAACTCAGTGTCTGTATAGGTTAGCTCTGGGGGTCAATTCCTGTCCCTGCCACTCCCAGGGATCTGGGTTCCCTGCTGATGGACTCATGGCTTTTCTTGTCAACTCTGACCCCTGCTTTGCTCACAGGATGAGTCTGAGGACACAGATACTGATGGGGAAGAAGAGACACCGCATCCCCCACCCCAGACCAGCCGCCCCTCTGTACACTTTCAGAGGTAAGCAGCCCAGGGCATCAGGAGGGAGCTACCAGACTCCTCAAGATCACTTGGTTTTCCCTGTGATCTTCCTCAGCCACATGGCTTTGTTGGTTGTAGCAGGCTTGGGGGATGGGAGGGGAGCAAATAGGGGTGCTTAAAGGCAAAAGACCTTCTCTGAGAAGGTCTTGTCCCTACCCTGGTCAGAGGCAGCAGGTGGAGCCTGGGCAGGACTGTGTGATCTGCTCTGGGTCCTCCCCTCCTTGGGGCTTGGCTCTCTATGGTCCCGGAGGGTGGCCAGCTCCACAGCTACCTCTGTGGAGGATGGGGGCGGGGGGCTCAGTGGGCCAGGATGGKCATGGGAGCGAAGCCTGATTTTCCCTCCTGCTTTCTGCCCTGCAGCCCTCCGACCCCCTTCATGCCCTTTACTTCTACTTTGCCTTTGCCTCCGGCCCCCCCAGGCCCCTCAGCACCTGACGCAGAGGATGAAGAAGACTATGACTCCTAGCACCCTCTGCCCCCCAGGCCGCACCCCCTTTTAGTTGATTTTAGTTGCTCTGGGGGGAAGAGATAAACTGTTCTTAAATTTATTAAAAAATAAATAAAAGGGAACATCAGTGTCTTCTCAGCCTGTGTTCAAGGCTTTGTGACTGTTTTCCCATCCATTCCACTGCYTTCCCATGCTCAGGGACCTTGGTTGGTAGGCCAGGCAGCAGCTAAGTAAAACAGGAGTTGACCAGGGAAGCTGGAGGCCACAATTTGCCAGGATAGCACCAGGGATGCTGATAGAAGGAGATGGGTGGAGGGTGGTCTAGTGCCCATGTCAGCAGGTGCTAGATGTACTGGGGGACAGCCTGTTTCGTGCTATGTGACCCTTTCTTCTCTGGACTGCTGTGAAAGGACAGTCAAGACAAAGAGATTGGTCCTTGAAAACTGCGGGGCAGGGTAAGGCAGAAGCACAGAGAGCCTAGCAGACCCGAGGCTTGTTTTGGCCTTGACTTGACTTGACGTGGGGGCTTAGAGGGAAGGAATTATTAAGGAATTATTATTTCTTTCTGTAGCAGCTTTGGCAGGGAATGGACCTGGAGGACAGGTGAGGGGAGGGCCTGAGTAAGCCACCAAAGCAGACAAGAACCATCAGGCCCTGGGCCACCTAGCTGCATCTGGAAGGAGGAGGTCAGCTATCCAATGCTGCAGAACAGGAGGTGGTACCTGCCAGGTGTCCTTTAGCCTCAGGGGAGCCTTTACTAGCTGCTTCAGTACCATGGTGGTTGATGAAAGAATGGGAGCTAAGGTGAGAAGCTCTGGATGAGGGGGTTCTGTGTTTGGGTTTGTGAGACCACTGAAAGAATAAGATCTGGTATTTTGTTTGTTCTTATTTTGGTGGTACTGGGGGTCAAAACCTTGGTTTTGACCCCCAGTACCACTTAGTGCTTAACTACTAAGCCACATTCTCCAGTCCTTTGTTTTTTATTTTGAGACAAGGTCTTGTTAAGTTGCTGAGAGTCTCACTAAATTGCTGAGACTGGAAATAATCCTTCTGCCTCAGTCTCCCAAGTCACTGAGATTATAGGCATGTTCCAGTGCACCTGGCAGTGTTTTTTTGTTTTGTTTGTTTGATATCAGGGATTGAGCCAGGGGTGCTTAGCCACTGAACTACATTCCCRGTCCTTTTTATTTTTTTAAATTTTGAGATAGAACCTCACTAAGTTGCTGAGGCTGGCTTTGAACTTGTGATCCTCCTGCCTTGGCCTCCCAAGCTGCTGGGATTACAGGCATGCCACCRTGTCCAGCTCAGTTATTGTTTTTGTTTTTTTGATATTAGGGATTGAACTTGGAGGCACTTGACCACTGAGCCACATCCCAAGCCCTACTTTTTGTTTTATTTAGAGACAGGGTCTCAGTGAGTTGCTTAGCGCCTTGCTTTTGCCGAGGCTGGCTTTGAACGCATGATCCTCCTGCYTCGTCCTCCCAAGCCATTGGGATTCTAAGTGTGCACCACCACACCTGGCTTAGTTTTTGTTTTTAAGATAGCAGAAACAAGTTTCCAGAGAGAGAGACTGAAGGGAGAATAGAATTGGTGAATTGAGGTGGTAGGCCTGAGGCAAACCCCAATCTGAAGAGGAGTTGGCTTGGGTGGGGCATTGAGGTGCCCAGAGTTTTCTCTGATGGTTAGGACCATCTGCCTTATGTAAGGGACAAGGTAGGTTGAGGTGGCTCCAAGGATAGTGGAAATATCTGCAGCTTGAGGCATCTTGGTGTGGGGCAGCTGGCATGGATGTTCAAGGAGCTGCCTCCTATTCATTCCCTCCTGCTTCCCTTGGGAGAGCCATCTCTCCCTTACCCCAACCTGGGATGTGTGCGCAACTGACACCACACCCTGAGGTTGAGAGGTGGGCAGGTGCACCAGCCTGGCCAGGGACAGCACCCTACTCTGGCCACAGTGACTAGTGCAGGGTGGGAGTTCTAGTGCATGAGAACCCTGGGAATTTAGGTGGGACCACTGGGAAAGGATTTTGACAAGATCACTGGCACGGATGACAATGGCAGTCACACTAGTGTAGCAAAGCTGGTGGGACACAAGTAGTCTGGGAGCTACTGGAAGGTATGTGCCACTTCAARGAGCCATCCTGCCTGAGGCTGAAGCCAGTGCTGAGGACAGAGCCAGGTGTTCCAAGATAGAGATTTCTGATGGCGTCTTGGCACCTGGATCTTGACCCTTCAGATCCTTGTGTACCTGGACTTCCTAATTATATGAACCAATAAACAGTGGCCCCCCAAGCTGTCAGGTTTCTGTTACTCATAACTGAAATAACTCGGGTAAAACAGGGACCATGAACATTAGGTGATCCCCATTGCCCCCAAAAGTGTTTTCTAGCAGTAGGTTTTTGTTGAGCAGATGAGGAGTGGGGATGGGAGAAGAAGAAAGCCGTGCGTGGGAGCCTATTGCCAGGGTCCATCCCAGGTGGGCTCTGAACAGAGGGTTCAGAAAATAGTGGGAAGGCAAAGAGGCCATGGTGCAGGAAGCAGCCCTCACTTCATTGTGGCGAAAGTCCCTAGGAGGCACCCAGAGCAGCTGGCCGGACCCTCTGGGTTCTCAGCCTTTTGGCTGAACCTTGAGGCAAAGTGTAGAACTGCAACCTCTGGAGCCAGGACCTGGTTTGAGCCAGGACCTGGTTCAAGTCAGGACTTGTGTGCCTCAGGTTCTCAGCTGTGCAGTGAGCTAGTTATATTACCTTTGTTAGATATGTGTGCTATGCAACAGTTTGTCACACCTGTATGAAGGCAAGCTTATCGATTTAACAGACCCGATCTATATAGGCTCAAATGCAATGGCAGTTTGTATCTTGCCTACATAAGGTTCATAATGGGATTTATCTGACCAATAGATGACACTTGTCTAAGGAGACTTTAGGGCTTAAGCTCCTGTGGCCCTGCCATCCTCAGCCCATGATTTCCAGGCTCAGACACCCATGAAGTGATCCAGTGCCTCTGYTCACCTCCCACAGACTAGGGCTAATCACAGTTCCCCTCCTGAGACAGGCAACCTGAGACACCAATMGTTTTCTGCCACAGGACCTCTAAGACCAGCGGAAAGGGCCTGGCCCAGCCTTCAGCAAGTGTCAGAGTGAGAGGGCAGGGCCCTGGGGAGATGGTGCTCCTGGCTGGGTCAGGCCTCTGGGTGCCTGGYAGTGGGTGAAGATGGCTGTAGTCCCATGGGCCCACCAAATACCAGAAAGGGGCAGCCACAGTGCCCTGCCTACAGAGCTTTGCTGGGGAACAGGTGATTCCATTCTTTAGCCACCAGGGAGCCGGGAGCCTGGCTCCTCAGACCAAGTCCTGTCTGATAACAGCTTGGCCTTGGCTGTGCCGCGGTGTGTTGAATGTGACCAGACTTGTGAAATGGGGAGCAATTTCCAAGGCCAGTGTGGCAGCCAAGGACTGACCTTCCCCCAGATGGAGGGCCCCTCTGCAGCAGCACTTATTGAGCACCCATCATCATTACTCAACGTCACCCACCCAGACACCTGAAAAGAGAAAGTGACCTCACCGAGGAGATGGTGTCACAGAGCTCGTAGTGCTTTTGGAAATGTCAATGGGGACAACCACCTTGGAAAAGCATTTGGCTGTAACTACAGGTTTTCCCTGTGACCCTACAGTTCCACTCCTAGGTATCTTACCAAGAGAAGTGAGGGCACATGTCYACCAAAGACATGAGAGCCCAGCGCCCATCAAGAAGAACGTGAGTGGATACATGGCAGCCTGTGAGTGCTAGAAGAGCAGGGAGGAGCAGGCCCCTGTTCCTCAGCGTGGGTAAATCCCGTGGAAGTTTTGTTGAGCAAAAGCAGCTCAATGGCAAGGAACACTAATGATGTAATTCATTTAAATGAGATTGGTGCTGACAGAAGTCAGTAAGGGTGGGGATTGGCTGGGAGGGGGCACAGGGAACCTTCTGGAAATACTGTATAACTTGAACTGCACSGTGGTTATATACAAAGTTACATCCAGCTGTATACTTAGGATTTGTGTACTTTTATGGTATCCTCATAAAAATTTTATTCATTTATTCTACCTACTTACCTACCTACCAAGAATCTATTATCTGTCAAGCAGTGTTCTAGGTAGTAGTGATTATTATGAACAGAATGTTCTTGGAGTGTTTCTGAAGGGGAAAGACAGACGATAAAGAACAGAAATAGCATGTCAGATGGAGGTTCGTGCTGTGAGGAAAATAAAGAAAAATGAGAGGCCTGGGGAGTCCAGGCAGGAAGGGTGGCCCAGCACCCTGTTCCAGGTCCAGAGGTGGCCTGAATGAGATGAGAATGAATAGAAGGTTCCAGGGTGAGGAGTGAGTGGGCCACCCAGCTCTCTGTGGGGGGAGAGAGAGCTCCAGGCAGAGGGAACAGCAAGGCAGGGGCTGGGCAGGTTGGGCGGCTTCTGTGGGTTCCYCTGTGGTCTTCTGCTCCCACTTCCTCAGCCCCCAGCCAAGCCTACTCAGGCCCATCTTGGCTGAGGAGTGTCTTTGTGGTGCTGGCAGCCCCTCAGGATCCAGAGCTTTGTGGAGGGGGAGGGCGACCGTGTGGGGGTCTTACCTCACACCTGTCCAGGGTGTGGCTTGTCCTGGGGCCCCAGAGACCAAGGAGGAAAGCTGAGGAGGGCAGTGGCCTCACCCACCTGGCCTGTTCCCTGCCCTGGAGGGTAGAGGCCTTCCCTTCCCCTCTCTGGGCTCTACCTTCTACCCACCCCACCCCTGTGGAGCAGCTCCTTCCCTGTGCTGTTAGATCTGAGGCCACTATAGGTTTCCTGCCTCCGCCCTTCTCAAGGGCAGGCAGCTTCACCCCCTTTAGACAGAGAAGTGAGGCGACTTCTTGGCAAAGAGGCAGACACTGGCCAGCACAGGACTGTGCCTGGCCCAGCATGTAGGGAGGTGGAGTTAGCAATCTTCCCCACCCTGGACCTGCTGCTGTTCCTTCTCAGGTGCAGTGGCACTCAGCTCCAGGACATGAAAGCGACCAAGTTCCCACTGTTAGGCTGTGGGCCCTGTGATAGGGGAGTGGCATCCATGATCTAGGTGCTCCACCAGGGTCCTGATCCCTCCTTGCCTTGGTGAAGGGCCTTTGGT